TGGGAACAGGGAAGAAGTATCAGTAGTTGGAAAATATGGGCTTGGTGACAGACATGAAGCTGGAGATAGAATGATTGAATTTTACACAATGACCTATTCATTGCAAATACGTTTTATAAGAAACATAAACGCAGGTTATACACATGGATTTCACCTGATGATATGCATAGGAATCAGATTGATTACATCTGTGGGAAAAAACGCTGGAGAAGCTCATTATCAGCTGTGAAAACTAGGCCAGGGACTGATTGTGGAACAGACCACCAACTACTCATATGCAAGTTCAAGCTGAAGCTGAGGAGAATTAAATCAAACCCACAGGAGCTAAAGTATGACTTAGAAGTATGACTTTGAACCTCTGCTACCTACCTTAAATTGCTTTGGTGTTGTTAGGAAAGCCAGCAATGGCAAGAGCCAGAAAACTCCTGAGAAGGGTGTCTTCTTGGCAGTTCAAAGAGGGCAGTCAGGTGGTGGGTCAATACAGGTTATGCCATATAAGATCATAGGACTAGGTAAGATATTTAAACTCTTTGGTGTAGGTGTCAGGGGTCACTGGAGAAAGTGCCAAGGTGCTTCTCTAATTGCATTAGATCGGTGGGAGACAAGGGGACATGAACACGAACTACCCTCAGCCCCTGCCACCTCACAGAGTGGGTCGAGGGAGCCTAAAGATAAGTTAGAAGAGTCTAGTGCAGGGGGGTGGGTGGGGGTCATTGTGAGCACTTGAGTGGAGGGGACAGGAGGAGATTTTTCAGAGGATCAGTAGAACCAGAAGCTTGGTTTGAAGAGTCTGTAGGACTAGAACCAGGCACTTAGCAAAGGGCAGAGGTAGAAACATAAGGGGAGGGGACTGAGTCAGAGGGATCAAAGTCAGGGTTATTGGAGGATAGAGGTTGTGGATTAGGAGAGTTTCTGGAGGAGCCAGAGGAGGAAGAGGAACCATGGGAATCTTTAGCCAGAAGAACTTGGTGGGTTTGGCAGGATTGAAGGAGAGAGGGCTGCGAGTGGAGATAGAAGAAACCTTGGACACTAGGAATTTCACCAGCTTTACCGGTTCACTTAATAAGTTATTTTGGTTTGACATATTTCTCCAATCCCAAGGATGAAAGATTGGAAAGGAGACAGCCCAAGGGAGTAGATTTAGATGACCTAGATGAGGCAGAGCTCATGACAGGGACGGAAAGTAGCAGAGAATAGGAAGGAGTTTGAAAGGCAGAGAGCATCCCCTGTGCCAAACAGGACTCCAAGCAAACACCACCAACTACAGCCAAAGTGTCCTTTGACCAGGGCAAGACACAGGAGAGTCCAATTGGCCACGCTGGGCTTTGCAACAGAGAAAAATGAGGCAAGATAGACTCGTAGAATCTCTGCTTACCTGTAAGAAGCTCTTGCCATGTCAGAAGGGTCTTGGTGGGCATGGGAAGGAGACGCCCAAAGGGCAAATCTACCAGGAGGGATCATCAAGTTTTGGTGTCCTGCCCAGGTTCTGCACCAGATAGAAGGTTTTGGATTGAAGGCAAGAACCATGCCGAGGTAGAAACATTTCTTAAAGTTTATTGCAAACAGGGCTGCTCGGCAAGGGGAGTAGTGCTGGGGGTTGGGCTTGGGAGGGCTTCTATGTGGTTTTAGCAAATGTGTTTTAAGGGGCTGTGAGATTAGTTGATGTTGAGTAGTTCATTGTTGCATAAAGGTTCTGGGATTTTCTGGTTTGGGAAAAGTCCTGATATGGGATTTTCTGAGTTTTGGTTTTGCAAAATGTCCTGATATAGGATTTTCTGAGTTCTGGTTTGAGGAAATCTCCTGACATAGGAATTTCTGAGTTGAGCTTCAACCTCCATTTTGCTGTTTAGCCTAACCAAAGGGAGACTAGCATCTTTCTCCTATGAAGCAGCTGACAGACTTGAACTTCTGACATTTTAGTTAACAGTCCATCGAATTAATTACACAGCACCCCATCAGAGCTCTTTAAATGCTATGATAAGCATGGATTTTTAATAGGAAACAAAGCAAACCCTGAGGCTACTCCCACTTAATTTTAAATTATGATCCTATGTCAACTTCCATTTTCCTGGATATGCTGATCACTGAGTGCCTTCTCATAGCAGCACCATGAGACAGAATAGGATTTTCCTGCAGAATTTGTGAGAGTAGATAATCATGACATTCTCCCCTGGAGACACTAGGTAGGTTTGAACTGCCAATCTTTCAGGTAGCATATGAGCACTTAGCCTTTGAACCACCAGAATGCTTTATTTTCCTAGGAATAATAGAGTATTAAAAGAAGATGGAAAGAGTATAGAGTCATTATACCAAAAAGTGTTGGCAGACACAGAAGAATTTCATGAAACAACATATGAGCAAGAGCCTATGGTGATGAAGGAAGAAGTTCAGACTGCTTTGAAAGAATTGGCTAAGAATAAGGCCCCAGGAATTGATGGTATACCAATTGACATATTTCAGCTAACAGATGCTGCCCTGGATGTGCTCAACAAGTTGTGCCAAGAAATCTGGAGAACAACTGACTGGAAGAGATCTATATTTGTTCCCATTCCAAAGAAAGGTGGTCCTGCAGAGTATGGAAATTATTGAACAACATCATTAATATCACATGCAAGCAAGATTTTGGTGAAGATTATCCAAAAATGACTGGAACTGTACATCAACAGAGAACTTCCAGAAGTGCAGGCTGGATTTAGA